AATCCATAGCGTAGAGTTACTACATATCAAAGTGAAATGTGAAAAGGCAACCCCTTGACCAACCCTTTCTGTTCAAAACTTGTGGCATCACGCTTCGCTCGTAGTCTTTGTCCTACCGTTAGTGCTGCATATCTTTCTCTCGAGCCGACTTTATATCACATCTTTACCTATTCACGCCATTTTTTAGTCTCATATCCCACAACGTCACCTAAGAGTCTGTTGCCGCTAAAAGTGGATTTAGTGAAGCATAATCATCTTCACCACCGGTTTCAGATTCCGTTTGCAGGGCTTCTGATTTATTTAGCCTCCTCTTCCACCCCGCTTGTTAATTGGCCCCTGCTACACATCAAAATCACTGTCTATATGAACTCTGACTGCCTATGTACCTTGAAATCTCGCGTAAATTACACCTTTTATCCCACAAGTTAACAGTACCACCTAATATTAAGGTTTAGATCAATTGCACATGTGTACACGGTTTAGTCACCTCCAGTCACTTATGTATGGAATCATCTCAATAAAAGAACACACGAACAATACACACATACATACAGACAGACATACATACTAGGGACCGACTGATATTGTGCCTCCCCCCAGCTCGGTTCCCACATCCTATAAATTTGAAATGGACCTAGTCCTTAAGCCTAGCACCTCTAATGGTCTGCAATTTGTCTCGTATGGCCCTCAGATGGACCCAAACCGGTAACTTGTGGCTTATTCCGGGTTCTACTCTTCTCATTACAATCGCCTTTTCTCCACTTGTCTTTGTCTCTCCTGATACTCTTCTTGGCAATTTCTCTTCCTGTTATTGAATAGTTTTCCTTGGTCTAAGCACCTTCTTTTTGCACTACTGGCTGAATCTCCAGGCCTGCCCATGCAGTATTCCTTCCTCTTCTGATCTCTTGTTCATCAGGATATCAATGGCCTTCCTGATCCTCCGTTTTCTGATACTACCCATTTGAGGCTATACTTTACGTTGAACTCTAGTCGATTGTGTGGTCGGTAAATGCAATTTGTTTAACTATCTCTGATCTTTCCGTATCCATAGTTCTGTTTAATCGTGGTATTAGTTGATCCTTGGGCTGATTGTATTTCCAGTCCTTGCAATCCTATGCTGTACATTCCAGAGCACTTTATTTTCTTGGCTTCTTCAAGCTGTGTGGGCAAGCTGATGAAGAATGTTATCCTTTCCTTCAGGGTTGTACAGATGTTTCATTTCCTTAGTATCAGCAACAGCTTCAGAGACAATTCGCAGGAAGGTAGACATCCATCGGCTTTCGTTTGTTTCCTTGGCTTGTCTTAGATAATCCCCGTCCTACAATCTGTCCATAACGATCTACATGTTGCATTGTAGCAGTGATCAAAATGTGAATGTTCTGTGCAGGAAAGTGAATATCGTTTCCGGATGCGATTAGCCAGACTTTCTTTTTTGTATATTGGGGCACCTTTCTTTTCGTTTGAAGAGGTGAGTGACTCTGCAGCAAATAAGCCTTTGGCGTATCCTCCCGCGAACCCCAACCCGGTCAACATGTGCGGAAATTTCATCTGACATGAGAACGGAAAGGTGCCAGGAAAAATTGTCCTCACAAATCGACAATCACCACCCCAAAGCAATCCTTCTCAGCCTCCACATCCTTCCTTCATCCCCTCTTATATCTTTTTTGCCCGGTTTAATTTGAAATCGTAGAGACCCGCTCATGATACGTCTCGTCCGATCAAAAAGTGGAGGCCTTAATCTTTTCCCAATGCAGGCGAATAAAATAGCTCTCGCAAATAATGTCATCGGGAAAAATAGTTTGTTGGAAAAGGCTTTGATAACAAATAAAATTACAAAATAGAGTTAAATGCGGGCCTAAGGCAGTCTGAAACTAGTACAAAGTTGGTGGGTTTTAAAATGAAAGCGCATTGAAGCTGTTCGCATCGTGAGAGAGGGCGATCAGAGCAGAGTAAAGCTGAGAGGATGGATGGATAGGCTATGTATCCTGACGGATCAGTAATGCCTGGAAGTCATGCAATTTTAGTAAAGTTCTGTCCGTCTGCAAGTTGGCAGGGGATGCAGTGCGCAGTGCGAGGTCGCCAATTCAAAAGAGCATGGACGGAGTGAACGAAGAGGAAGAAGAGCGGGAAAAGGAAGAGGAGTACGAGAAAATGGTGGCCAAAGTGTGCTGTGTGTGCAGAGTGGCCATCGTTGAGAGCGAGACGCCGGGCAACAGCGAGCCGTTGCCGCCGCGACGCTACTGATCGGTACCGGAAGACGCAAAGTCGGCGGATGGCAGCCGAGCCTTTGCCATCTCTACGGGTTCTAGCTTAAACGGCGCCCTCCAGTCTTAGGGGAGCCCCGGAGCCGGACACAAGGCCTGCATAGGCGGGACCGGCGTCCAGGCCTGGCCGGGACTGCACTTGGCTTTCACCGCACCGACTGTCTTTGAGACGGGATGCGCCAGCGTCTGTTATAGTCCGGTCATTGTCTGCGATGGGGCAGAGGACCTGGGCCCGAGTTGGAGCACAAGCTCGGGCTTGAGATCAAGTATGGGCTTGAGATCAAGCAGCAACATGGACGGCTTGGCTTTGGTCGGCATTGCGGCAGGATTGTCGAGGTGGCGTTTCACATGGTTAGGGCGGACATCGGA